TAGTTACCTGGCTTCCACAAAACGATATTCTTGGTCATCCAAAGACCAAGCTATTTTACACACATGCGGGAATCAATGGAATTGCAGAATCTGTTTACCACGTCGTGCCAATGGTATGTTCACCTTTCTTTGGTGACCAGTTCGACAACTCTCAGCGCGTTAAAGACATCGGTGTGGGGGAGATAATGCCAGTCAGAACTGCAACGACACAACAGATGTTGGACGTTTTAAAGAAAGTGTTAAACGATGCAAGGTACTAACAAGAATTTGGCGTTTTGTGTTTCTTTGTGTTTACGAGTTCTTCACCGTAATTGTTAGATTAAAAAGTGTTTCTCCAGTATCATAATTTTTTCCTGACAAAAATGTATTCAGTCAAAGAATTGCTTTCTATGTCCGTACAACCTGAAATTAAAGTGACAGGGGTACGKGCGCTCGGCGGATTTGAAAGTGGGGGGGCTGTATTTGTAAATGACCCTAAAAGCTACGTTACGTTTTAGTAAATATTTTAGATTAAACTGTTTTTCAGTCTCTAGAATCCTGTGTATCAAGATCGTTGATACTTGCACTAACAAAACAGTGCAAGTTTGAGATCCTAAAACGTACGCGAGGGTCTTACCTCTAAAGGATTTGTCGCGACTTCAAGCGATTTTTGTGTTTGAGTCCACCTTATAATTAGTCTAATTAGAATGATAATATGATGTATATTTTACAATAGCTAYAAAGAAAACGCACATCATGTATCTAAGAAGATGAAGATGCGAAGGCATACACCAACACAAGAAGCTGCTGACCTGATCGAGTACGCAATTGATGTCGGCAATATGTCTCATCTGAAGCCTCGTGGTTTGGATCTACCATTCTATGAGCTGTATATGCTTGATGTGTTAACGGTSATGGCTATCGCCCTMGCTGTTATTGGAGGGATATYCCTACTGCTTATCAAACAARTTGCAAAGATTTGTTTTGGAACAAATAAGAAGATGAAGACATCATGAAACTGTCACGTGGAAGCTACTCAACCTGCGTGTAATCATAAAATTCCCGTCGTACTGATACCAACCGAACAGATRATTTTCCAATTTCTCTTGTAAATCAATCACAACAGTTTTTGTAGTACTCAYGAATCTCCTTGACGTGAATTAAAATAAATAAAATGAAAAAAATATAGTAAAAAGTCGGACCTTAAAGACTTAAAGACGCCTAATACATGCCACTAACCCTGTGAGACAGAGTTTATTTCTTTGTCAAGGCGATGTGCATCATAGCGTCATGTACTACCAAGACCAGAATGCTTTCCTTCTGTAATGCAATTAGTCCCAATTGCTCTACTAAACGAGTGGTTTGCTGCGACAGGATGCCCAAGGCCCGTATCTTTTGGAAGAAATTAGCTTTCTCCGCAGGCATCACTGTCTCTCACTCTGTATAGGGTAGTCTGGGAATGAATATACAAAACATCTCAATCTCGACAAAATGAAGGTATTTTTGAATTACCTTGAATTACCTTTGAATTACCGGTCACGTGGGGGGGGGGGCGCCCTTTGATATTAGGGAGTTCCCCCCCCGTTCCGGCCACGTCCCTATCTGTGGCAGATTTCAGAACTTACGATGTAAAATTGACAAGTCTCCCCCTCTTTTAGGATAATCTATAGTCACTACGGCATGATATGGCATGCTGAAAGGTTTAKCGAAAATTATACATAATCGTAACAAGGTTGTCTTGTTAGTCGGACGGCTAGATCGACTTAAGTGTTACCTTTTAGTCTGTCTATCTATCATGTCGTGTTTGGACCACCGGAAGTTAAGAATTTAAT